CATTCATTTCTTATGGCTCTATCTGCAGCTTTTCCGGAGTCATTTCTTATGATTACATTTTTCCACAGGCCAACAACAGCTTCAAAAAAACTATTTCCCTCAAAGAAAAACCAAACATGCCCTGTTGTCGCAAGAAAGTGCAAAATGAAACATCCATTGAAACTCTCTGTGCTGCTCTGTGATGCTAGTTCAAGCCAAGATACTTGGCATCTCATCTTGGGTGCAAGTTCATCAGTGTTTGGGGTCATGCTCTGAGCTGAGGAAATCCTCAGGATTGAGTGAAGGTGTGCGTGCAATATACCGGTGGGCCAGATCTAATAGTAATTAAGAATTATCCTGCGGGCCGAAATTAAATCCACCACGGGCCTGATTTGGCCCCCGGGCCTTGAGTTTGACACATGTGCTCTAAAATAATAAACACACTCAAAAGAAAATAATTCTTCATTGCTATAATGACAATAACCATGTTGTGCATTAATTTTCATGAATAATCAGTGAGCAAGATATATTATTATGGTCTCAAAATGAATAGGGTGTGTCTTTTAGACAAAGAGATGGCAACTTTACGCGTTTTTTTCGGATTTTATTGCGTCAGTGGCCAAGTGAGGGTTTCATCCTCCAATTCTATCCATCTAAGTGTGGAAATGGCCAAGTGTGGAAAGTGCTGTCTCAACTAAACAGAGCACCCCATCTCAAAAGTCAGATTTGGCCTCATTTAGTTTAACGTTTATATTGACAAGTATATCCTCAAAGTCAAAGCACATGCATGTCCCTTTGCCAATAGGGTTCATGGCCTATTCCTTTGTTCCTGGCTGGTTAAATATTCAGGAAGGTCTCTGATATGTTACCTGATCGGCCGGAGTAAAGTTACAGCCCTGCATTGTCGTGATCAGGACAGAAATGACACATGCACATACTGTATTAAAGGGTTTAGTTTCCACAGACGTGGGCAGAAGTCTTACAAGCATAGACTCATTATGTTCCACATTTTCCAGTTATCTGGAGCCCCATTCAATCATGGCAATTTAGAATCTGTCCGTAACTTTGACTGACAAATAAATACAATTCCATTTTCTCATTCCCTCGCTCACAGTGCTGCTCTGTTCCCTGACTGGTCCCTTCTTCCTATTGCTTTTAGAGACAAGTGTATGTGAGATTAAACTACTCCTCAGGTCTGGGAGACACCAGCCGGTCTCTGGGGGAGTGGACTACTGTACCAATCACTGTCATTCATGATGAGACTGCCTTGCCCACACACACACACACACACACACACACACACACACACACACACACACACACACACACACACACACACAGGGAGGGGTATGATGCCCCAGTAGTCATGAGTAAAACAGAGAGGGAATGTGGGGAATATTAAATGCGATGTCGGAAAGCTGAAACAAACTGAAGGGAGATGAAGTAATAAAATGAGAGGATGGAAGGAATGAGGTGAGAAGGGAGCTCCAGTAAATATGGCTGTGCTTTTTCAGCCGAATGATTGACAGACAGTAGAGGATGCTGGCCTCGAGCACACTTAATAACTTTACTCATCCTCTGGTTTGCCCACTTAGTCCAGGAAACCTTAGCCTTTCCCAAGCTAGGGGAAATGCCACTTCAATCGCAGGGTAAAACTACTCTAGACCAGAGAAGAGAGTCCAGCAATCAGCAGTGACAGCGTACGTGTTTTCGTGTGCATGTCTTTTTGTGCGAATGTGTGTGTGTGTTTGTGGTGATCAAGACTGTCAGATCTGATTACAGCCTGCTGCAGTAGCCTAGAAAATGAGAAGTGAAGAGAGACTACAGTGATGTGCCAGTGCCCTGAGCATTATATTCAATTATATATAATTCCCTTGTCATGAACCCACATGTTAATGCGTAAACATACATATACAGTATGTCATATAAACAGACACACACACAATGCCTGCCCATCATTTTCATTTCACATTGAATGGCTCAAGCAACTAGCAATTATAGTGGTCAAAAACAGCATGATATTTTCTAATGGTATAATATTCATCTGATATGCATAAACCACTATACAGTTGTTTATATAGTGGTATATAATGTTATCCATTGGAATCCTGCTCTGAACAGTGTATTCATAAGATCCTTTTAGCTTTATGTTGATTGTATGGGGGTTTGCATGATCAAAATTAAAGGTCCCATGTCATGCTTTTCCGGTTATTACCCGTCCCCTTGTGTGTTATGAAGGTTTGTATGCATGTGAACGGTCTGCAAAGTCACAAACCCTCAAAGTACACCCTGTACCGAGTAAAACTCTAACACAAAAAAGACCTGTCTATGCTGCCCCAGAACGCCTCGTTGGAGATTTCTCTTTTTCTTCCTGGGTACAGTGACGTGACCATACCTATGGACCCATCCGTGGAGCTCCTCACCAGAGATGGGGTCGTTACTAAAAAAAAGTAATATATTACATATTATATATTACTTTTTAAAAAAAGTAATATATTACACTACTTCGTTACTCTCTACATAAAGTAACTCGTTACTTTACTCGTTACTTTACTCGTTACTTTACTCGCAGGGCCGGCCCGCCCCTCCCTACAGGCAGATCACGCAGACTGCGGCGCACCTACAGTGTGCGCGCCACAGTTTTGCCTCTGCGAGACTCCACTTGCACCCCCAATTACTATTGCATTAAGGAAGACATAACACAAGTCTTTCTTTATGCTCTAAAATAGGCTACCAGCCACACAACAAGCTAACAGTCTGTGAAACGTCAAGACACTAATTAATTAAACCAGTTCAAGACGCATTATTCTTATCATTCTTTTTGAGCGCAGTAACGGTAAGGTATCTAATTACTTATTTATTTAGTATTCCATAACTTAGTAACAGAGATGGTCAAACTAAAGTGGTAGAGACATGGCAGAATTCCTACAATGAAGCGGGGCATTGAACTGTTCACCCGTGAGAGGGCGATCAACAAAAGAGAGCGAGCGGCCCCGTTGAGGGAGTTTACAGATGAGAAGACTCAGCCATGTTTATGCAGCACTGCTGCACGTGGAGATGTGGTCTCGCAAGTTGCGCAGATTACATAGGCCTACATGTATATAAACCATAGACTTTAAACCTGCGGCGGAAACCCCTCTAGTCTGTCAGTGAGTGTGATTATTTTATAAAAGTAACGAAGTAACGCGTGTCGGGGCAATGTTAGTAACTGTAGTGGTTTGGGGGACAGCTCACACTGCTCGCAGCAGCAGCGAGCCGCGCAACGTCCCACCAACACGGCACCCAGACCCCACGCAGCATTCTCATCTGTTTGTCATTACTGGTGTCATTTTCTGGTTGCTAACAAACGCCATTGTAACACATAATCACTGATGTTCCACTGTAACGGTGGTGGACTCATCAGAACAGAGTGGGCGAGCTGACCAATCAGAGCACAGTGGGTTCACAGGGAGGGGGGGGGGCAGGAGCTCCAACAAGGCGTGTAGGACAGAGAGTGAATACACATACTATGCAGAGATGCTGTATGAGAAACCAATGTGAGTTTGGAAAATTGCACAATATAAATCTATTCTAGTATACCTCAACAATGGAATTATGATCCGTAGAAATGGCCATGACATGGGACCTTTAAGTCGTTAAGATGAATTATATAAAGAAATCATATTTATAACATGAATAAAAGGTTTTTTCAAGACAGCAACAGCCATCCTTTCAGCTGTCTTAGTGACTAACAGAAGAGAGATTCAATGCCTTGTAAAATCTCATAAGCTTAAGGTTTGGAATCTTTAACTGAACCTTACCTGCAATTAATGCACTGTATTCACGTGCAATGTGTTAACCCCTATAAACATAAACTGGTTGAATTAATGCCAGATTAAAGTGAGCAAGCCGTTGCCATATTTGTTGCAGTGCATCACGGCAAACTTCGCCTCAGCGGCACATAAATGTAGTAAGAAAACATTAGCTAGCCATGAATGATTACAGGTTTTAAGTTATAAGTCAGACGACTAAATGGCTTTTTTAGTCGTCTCCCCGACACTGGTTATATGCTGTAACACCATGATTTCTGTATGAATGATGCGCTATGTGTAAACCTCTTGCTGCTTAGCCCGTCACTCTTCCCTCTCTCGGCGCGTTCACACCGGAGTATGTGGGTTAAAAGTGTAGTAAACACCTGATTGACTAAATCAAGGGAGACTTAATTAAGGGACAAACATCTTTAATTACTGAGGTGACTTGTCTCCTTTTCTCGCCATACAATAACACATATGGCAGAGGACACACATAAACACGCAAACATTTCTTTACATGCCATTTCAGTAGGACACAAACTAAAACATGTACACTCAGAAACCACCCACTGAAAACCAATTCCTTTAAGTATGATGTATTCTACTGACTGCGAGGGCCAATTCCTTGCACATGTATGGACAATTAAGCCTAATTTTGGCCCAAATTGCTTCCTGTAATGTTGAGTGGACATAGTTAACAGGCTGTTCTGAACTGCACAACAAGATCTAAAGTATCGGCTCCAAGTTAAGAGAGTGATGGAGAAAAATGATGAATGCTCGCCACCCCCCACACACACCTCCATCTCTCTACACACTGCACAGTACAACACGCTTACTTCCCTAACAGCACTGATACAATCATTAGAGCCAAAGAGTTTGGAAACTTCAGAGATGAAAAAGAATGCTGCCAGCTTTCTTAAGCCTTCTGACTGACCCTCCCACATGTCCTAGCCCACTGGTGGACTAAAGGAGCCACACACATAGACATTTTCTCCACCCACCTCAGCGTCCATTAGAGAATCAGAAAAGGGAAAGAAACCATGCAGAAAAACACAAGATTGTCTTGCAGAGGTTGTGAAGACCTCTGTCATATTATATGTATCTGTGCATGCAAGATAGTAAAAGTGGCGTATTCCAGAAATAGCGCACATTGAACATCATCACCATTAATGTGCAGCTGTTGGCCAATCAGCTTCATTTCTTTGTGAGTTTCTGTGAATGTGTACTGACCTCTGTCTGCAGTGTATTGGCCCGTTGCTCCTTGGCGCTGAGAGACTCCTTTAGCACCTCGATGTGTTGTTTGCTGTCTGAGTTCTGATTGGTCAGTGTTTCCAGTTTGGTCTGCAGGGCCTGCATCTCTGACTCCTTCCTGTTCAGCTCCTGCTTCAGCTGCTCTATCTGAAAATCACAGAAACAACCACACATTTGTAATGAACACTTTATATCATCGCTGAGTCAATTGATAAACCAGCAGATCACGACAACACACACACACAAACCACATGCACACTTCATGCAAAAACACATGCTCTGAAACATGCTTTATAATTTAGGAGTAGGCAATATGGACATCAATAATAGCATCAGAGCTAACTTATTATTCAAGTTTTGTTTATTAATGCTACTACAGTAATTATTTTGTTACCATGATAAATCAAATTTTTAAAAACAGTGTCAGGCTGTGACACATCTTGCTAAAACTCAATTCATTTTTCATCCATTTCGAAAAACTTTAATATATACAGTAAATATGCCAATCGTGTATTTTTTTGGAGAGATGATACATTAAAGTCACACAAGCCCTACATTAACAGTCCTTACTCTAGAGCAGTGGTTCTCAAACTTTTTCTGTCAGGCCCCCCCTTTGGAGAAAAAAAAAAGTCGGGCCCCCCCAACACAAATAGTCAGGCTCAGTGGCGGCGCCAGAGATTTATTTTGGGGGTGCTGTGGGGTAGCTTGACGTTTCATAGAGGGTGCTCAAACATTTAGGGTTTCCCATTAATGTACCGGGCGCTACAGTGGAATGTTCTACTGCAACACTCTCCACGCAAATACACAGTGTACCTGCGACTGTTACCATGAAGGCTCGATAATCAGCTCACGGCATATAGGTGTAAGCAGGGGTAAAGTACTATTTTTATAGGTGGTGTGTGGACCTCACATAGGGGGGTCTGGGGGCAAGCTCCCCCGGGAAGATTTTTAAATATTCAAGTAACAGAATTGTAAACAGATTTACTTTTTCTTTATGGATATTTTACAAATCACTCCCCTTTTAAACTGTATTCTTTTTTTAATATATAGTATTTCATACCTGTTTTTAATGTATTCTCTTATTTTATAACTATAATGATCATATAAACGTGTGCCTCGGAAATAATTGTTTACATTAATGGTGACCAAAACGTTTGAGACCCACTGAGATAACCCTTTAGCTCACTGAGCCTTTGTTGTTGAAAAAACTCCTTATATCCGTTAGCGTAGCTCGCTAGCACCAGAAGCTAACAACAACAATCTCTGGTACCGGTGCGCTCTCTCTCTCTCTCGCTCGCGCACACACACAAAATGGCTCGTTCCACACACACACACACACACACACACACACACACACACACACACACACACACACACACACACACACACACACACACACACACAGAGCCAAGCTTTAATGAAACACAGAGACCCAGATGTAATAGTACTGTATCATATTATTTTCAATCAATAATTTTTCAAAATATGATTTTTTTTTTTTTTTAAATCTTTTTTTTTTTTTTAAATAACCATTTTCCCCCCTGGTCTCTCGCACCCCCCCTGTCATGCCTCTGTGCCCCCCTGGGGGGGCGCACCCCCCACTTTGAGAACCACTGCTCTAGAGTGTCCAATACCTATTGGCAAACAGCCAAAGAGAGAAAATGCATGCAGCCAGACAGAGTTATAGAGAGCAATATTACGCTCACGTAGTTGACAGATTACAGGTTTTATTTAAGAGAAGGCTACACAGAACAGACCAAAAAACCACAAAGGAAATCAAATGCATTAACAGAGGGAGGTTTCTGTGCTGAGGCTAACTATGTGCACAAGATTGTCATCTCTCTGCTGGTGCCAAAAATGCTCGAAGCTGATTCAAGGAGAGATTTCTCTAATTGTGTGAGAAGGGTTCGCCTCATGACAGGGGAATTCTGACTGGACCAGAGCTTGGCCAATCGACCCTCACTCAGAAATAAGGAACCCGAGAGAGAAGGGAGAAGGGGGACTGACTAATAAGAGAAGGGAGCCAAAGGGTGAGCTAGAGAAACAAATGACTCTGTGAGGTGAGACTAGTGAGAGGATAGTCAGACAGGGAGACAATGGAAGTAGGAAAGTGTGTAGGGAGTAGACTAAAATCATATGATAATGTGATAGGGCGTTAAAGATAAATAAAGGAGCAATAATATTAGGTTGAATAAAATAAATACTGAGAGGAGAGATGCTAATGAGAGGAGTACTTCAGCTTGTTCAGTGATCCAGGGTTGTTGAGGGGGGAGGTGGAAGGTGGAAGCTGTTCTGATGGAAGACACACATGGGGACAAGGCCTTCTCCTAAAGAGACACAAAGACAAGAAGACAGCAAGCCACTAAACTCCAGCCCACAGCAAGCTGGGAAACTGACCAGGTTTTCTGTTTGCTCCTCCAACTCCCCCGCACTTTGCACTCCTCAAGCACACCACTGATGTTTCAGAATGTTGCACTTGTCAAGTTCAGTTAGAAATGATTATGTGGATAAATAAATTCAACTCTACTCTAATGTCCAATTATCATACTTTAACAAATATTCATGTTCTCAGAAGTAACTTTCTATTGTTTCGAGCAAATCAAAGCCCACAGCAGAAACCAGAGGACAGGGAAGCGGTCCTCTCTGGTTTCTCTTATCACAGTCTCACCTCAACACCAGTCGCTACCCCTGCTGAAAGACCACGACCCTAAACACTTCAAGGATATAGAATGAATCTGTGTGCCTGTGCATTTCCATGGTGACTCTCTGTGTGACGCAGAAAGATGAGACATGGGAGAGCGAGCCAGGGCCATCACTGTGATGTATATAATCCCAGGTCAGTATAGAGAGCTCTTTCCTCTGTCGTTGTAAACTCACATTCATCTGTCAGGGCCCCATTCATAAAAACATCTCTTTTATGATTGCATCAGGAACTTCCCTGATGCAATGACAAATGGACGCTACAAAGAGCACCATTAATGACAAAAGAGAAACATTTTCACATGGCGCGCTACTGATAGGCCTTAACGAAACTTGAGACTACATTTTTACATGCGGCTCCTGTAGATATGTGTATGTACCTATTCCAAATAATTATGTCAGTCTGGGAACTGCTGGGTCCCAATGAATAAACCAGTATACAGCCTGGACGAGAGACATAGTCTTCCTGCTAGCTGAGAATAGGACAGTAAATAGACACTGTGCACTGTAAGCCGATAGGGCCTGAGTTCCCTCCCTCAGCCGTCACAGATAGGAGAGCTGCACAATGCTTGGTCATCACACAGGTAAGGCATACAAGCATTTCATGGGACATAATAAAGGCAACAAGAAACCTCACTCTAAATATAAAATAACACATTACAAGCGTAGGAGTTCTTGTTATTCATGCAACACAGGAGGCTCTGGATACAGCAGCCAAAAGACACAACATTATGTAACATGCACTTTGGTAAGATTTCACCTCACACTTGGTGACATGCAATAAAACAGTTGTATGTTTCGAGGCAGACATGCATCACTCATGCAGTGCGAAGTGGTCTCATGTGGCATGCAGAGACATTCTACCTTAGTCTTCATGAATTTAGAATGGCTCTTGTAGACCTCCACCTGCTTGAGCTCATCATGTCTCTCATCCGGGTGCAGCAGGCCGCTGGTCTTTAACACCTGGACCTCATCCTCTAAGTTTCGGATGTTCCTCTCCAGGGAGGAGATCTTTGTGTCCTGCACCAGCAACAGTAGGCAGGCATGGATTTAAAACTCTGGACTTTAATAAGGGAAAACCTGTCTCAGAAATCATTGATCCACCTTTTAATTCATCCCTCTAAAATGTCATGCACAAAAACTTGATAGAGCAGGTCACTAAAAAAATGGTTAACATAGAGAAGGAATGAACGTACTATCATTTTAAAAATAGGGATAGGGGCACAGATAGTCTCTTTTGAAACACATTGATAGTGTTTACATAAGAATTGACAGAAAACGCTGTACAGAATGTAAAGAGGACTTAAGGGAGATTTTAAAACCATGGCTTCTTTTTCATCTACAGCTGGCCATTCTGCAAGAAGTACATTCATTTAATTTTGCAGGACACATATCCTGCAATTCAGCATAGTTTACAGAAGACGTCATAGCGTCCTCTATCTAGATTATACTTATACCCTATTAATATAATGTCAAACAGGGGAAATATCAAGGCACACAATTGTATAGAGACAAGATGTTTCCTTTGCTGTATCTATGAGAGAGTGGAAGGGTTTGTCATGGACAGGTCCAGAGGTTGTTTAGCAGCACAGGTTCATACATACGTTAAATGCTAAACCTTGGAAAAGAAGAGAAAGGTAATTGAATAAATGGAAGCAGATTGCATGATGCCATCAGCACAAACCACAGGCAACATGTCAGCATCTGACCTCTATTACATCCTCTGACATCACGGTGCTGCACACAGTGCTGCAGGTACTATCCTCAACACCCAGAAACACATATACAAGGCAAACAAGAATGCTAAAGTTATGTAAAACACACACATATACACACACACAGAGTGTATGCAAGGACATAGACTTTAAGTGAACAACCAGAAGAAAAAAAAAAGTCAAAGTGGGGGCATTCTGGCCATACAAAGACTGCTATTCATTTATTTCCATTTCAGCATGTTGGTTTCTGTATTGTAAACAGTGCTCTACGTTTAATAACTGATTTCTATCTATTTCTGCTACAGGGCACAGACACAAAAAAAACATAACCCTGAGGAAGAGAAACAAGGCAAACTCAAAGGTACAACAGAGTGTAATATCAAACATAACATTGGGTAGAAAGGGAACACAAAAGAGCAGGGTCTTAAAACCGCTGAAACATGAACTACTGTACGGTGCTGAATTCCAACGCAGAAACAATTATGAAACTGATAGAGGAAACAGAGATTGTATATTTGTAGCCCATATTCAGAATGGAGAGAGCACTCATTACTGTACCTGCCAGATTACGTCAGGATCAAAACAGAAAGGGGGGTTGGTGTTCTGTAATTACAAAACGAAAACATCCACTACTTAAAAAACGTAACAGCACAGACATCACCGAAGTTGGAACAAACATACACACGGATCAGGAACATATAGAATTTTGAATCCGTACACAACAACGTAAACAGGTGATAATTTCAAAAAACCACAAGGCCTCCTGGGAATGTAGCACATTATCAGCAGCGATAAAGTTAGACAGTTGCTGTGTCTTCCTCTCTTTTTCCCCACCTTCATATATCTTATCAATCTGGCAATGTTTATTTCTCTTTCCATTAATTTGAATGCAGTCCGATTTTAATTATGCCTCTCTCGAGCATTAACAAAAGCGTGGGCAGACCTGCACATGTGCAGTCTGTTAATAGGCAGACAAATTACAAAGTATGTGTGAAAAATAACTGTGGTTTTGCTATTAAGGAACTACTTTTAGAACAAGCATTTGCTGGGCAAAAACGGTGTGTGTGGGGGTGTACATGCAGACACATGTGGAGTCAACTGCATTTTTCACAGCTCTAACGACTTCAAAAGGCTGAGATGAGAGTGAAAGCTTCCATATGTGACATTTGAAACAAATTGAATAAGTGTTCAACTCTGCATGGGCCAATAATGGCCTTTACATGGGCATGGCCGCCATACAGACACGAGGAAACAATAAGACAATGTTCTTCAGATTGGTTGTGCCTGTATGTCTGTGCCTGCATTAACAAGGTGAGTCAGCTCCTCTACCACTGCTCACATTACAGCAGTGCACCTCAATAATTAAAGCTTTGTTGGTATGGAGATGATACCGGACTATACCGGGCGGCTGTGGCTCAGTGGATAGAGTGCTGGACTTTGAATCAGGGGGTAGCAAGTTCGAGTGTCCCTGGGCAAGACACTTCACCCCAAATTGTTCCTGTGGGGATTGTCCACAGTACTGAATGTAATGTAAGTCGCTTTGGATAAAAGCGTCTAACAAGTAACATGTAATGTAATGTAACATGCTGCAACTGATAAGCAAACTACATTGCAACATCATGCTTCAATTCTTATCACAACACCTACATAAGCACATTATTACTTAAATTGTTGCCTGCTCTCGTTAATTCCTAAACCCACTGTGAGTCCTACCTTCATATCAACAACAGTCTGCAGAGCTCTGGTCTTGGCCGGTTCGGCCTGGAGATGGTTCCGGCGATGGAGTTCCTGAGGAGGAACTCTGTAAAAATAAGCTTGGCGGCTCATCATCTTCTGTACTGTTAAACACCCACAGCTTCACAGCCACTTAAAAAGATGGACTGATGAGTCTGAGCAATTCCAACCTCTATCCTTCTTTAAAAAAGGCTGTTATCTTCTACTGTACATCCTGAAAAAAGTATTGAAAAGAAAAAAAATATCCTTTAAGATGGTCCCCGTTTAATGCTCTCCGAGGACTTCGCTCCGTCTTTAAAAGCAGGTGCTGATATGTTCTCTGCTCTCTCTTCTTCTTTCTCTGCTCACCATCGGGAATGACACACTCAGTTATAGGTCATATGAGTCCGTCTCTATCACTCTTTCAGTCTCTGTCTTTCTATTCCTTACCTCTCACTTGGTATCTCTGACTCTCTCGCAGATGTCTCTGGCAAACTAAAGCTCTTGCTTGGCAACACTTTCTACCAGCACGAGCGCTACACTTTTTCTATCAATAATTAATGGTAGCTCTGACCTACAACTATGCCCACACACACAAGCACGCACGCACACACACATATTTGAGCTAATGGGCACGAACACAAATACCGACACAGAGCAGGTTCAAATTGTCGAGTGTGGTCCATTCCGATAATTAAAAATGCTTTTTGATAAATAAAAAACATTTTAAATTATAAAATCATAAAACCTGGAGTGACCATTTCATGGTTGTGTTATGTTGTTGTACTATATTGTACATCTGCTATATGAGAAAGACCTCCCTATAATGGAGTCAAATACAAATTGGCATTGACAAAATCCTCTAATGGCGCGTTTCCACTGCAGGCCTCGCTCGGTTTGGTTAGGCCTTATTAGGCCCGGCTCACTTTAATGCTGCGCTTCCATTACAGTTTAGGAACGGGGGTAGTTACTATTGTAACGCAGTGTAGGCGGAGCCGTGACGTCATCTTCAATGAGAGCCCCAGAAAAATAACACAGCCGTTAGCTCTTAGCACTCAAGAGATCACAGCTCTTCATATCTGTTCAGAAACTAGACAAAAGTTAAACAAGTACAAACCACAGACTGCCTGTGTATGGCGAATACAGTCGCTGGTTTATTTATGTCTGTATAGGCCGTTGTTCTGAGTGTGGACGGTCGGAGCATATATAACGTTAGCTTAGCCAAGCTCCATTTAGAAAACACGCATTTTAAAAGGTGTTTCGCCTGCCGTCTGTCTGCAGACTTGTTAAAGCATTAATTCATGTTTTTTACTAACCGGTATCAGTATGTTGTTACTTCGGCATCATTTTGAAACGTGTATTACAATTAAATCACGGTCAAATATGTTCATCTTGTTGTAGTTGTAGCCCCCTTGCCAGCGATTCTCTCTCTAGTTTAGCATACTCAGCCTGGTTGTTCCTGGCCCTAGAACCACGATTTAGTCGTGCCAGAAAAAAGGAGAAAAAGTAGCCCCGGGCCAAAACTAGGCCAAGTGGAAACGCAACCAAAAACGGGGCCCGCACGGCTCGACACGCTTAAAGCGAGCTACCCGCTGCAGTGGAAACGCGCCATAAAGCTTAATCAACACCTCTCTAAAAGAGTCACAGAAAAATCTAGAGGAACATCACAAAGGCCTTTTAGGCAACTGCTCTATTTACATCCTCTATTTAACACAAATATTATTGCTGATGCACAACCATCTCGCACTCAGCTCCTAAATCTATTCCAAGCTCAAGGTATCTGCTATAACAGCAGCTATCACATATCTGTGTGCGTAGTCTATGTGTCAGAGCAAAGCTACCAAACGTTCACTGTACTGTATGGCTGTGTTGTATTCTCCTGTTTATTAATTCCTATGTTACTTGACTGACTACACTGCACATTCTTAACTTTTTGTTCAACTTTATTTTCCTAAGGAGTTATAAAGAGTAATGTTCTCTTTGTTAACCCTTGTGTTGTGTTCAAAAGCTGTTACCGTTCATGGTGTTCGCGGGGACATTTTGATTTTGACCCATGATTTATCTCAGTCCAAAACACACAAAGAAAATTACTATCATCTAATATTGTTTTAACTACATCGTTATCATAACTAACTTATAATGCTTTCATAACCGTACAATCCTGTTGTAATTTAGTGTTATGGCCCCAAAACACATCACACCACATATTGCATACATGCATATGTGTGTTCAGGTTCAAGTGTTAGTGTACATATTCTTTGAGAAAGGTCGAGTTCCCGTGGGGGGAGGGGGGCAGAGGGAGGGGAGACCAGGTGCATGTTGCGAACAATTATTGTTACAGTGGATGAAGGGGGTGGGGCTGGGGTGTCTAAAGTCAAAGATGAATCTTGATTGGTCCAAATTTGACCTCGAGTCACCCAAAACAATTCTGCTGGGTCTCCCTAGACCCGAAACACCAAATTATCCCCTTTTTTTTCAAAAATTGTCAAAATCAGTTTTGTAGTGTTTATATAGCTGTTGTGGAGGATATCATGAAGCCTTGTTCCGATCAAAAAAAACTAGAACGTAGTTATTATATAATTTTAACTTGAAACGGGTCACGGGAGACCCGAACACAACATAAGGGTTAAAAACACCCTGTTCACACCAACACATGTTGACACCCAAAGCTCTGCAGCTCATCCACTGTCTGATCTGCTTGCCACTAGAGCAGCTCTATCGGAGCAATTGTGGGTCAGGGGCGCCTCAGTTGTGGTCGTGAGGGAGTCGCCCTTGCTCAAAGGGCCCTAAATGGTGGCAAGCACTGCTCTTTGAATTCCCATCCAGATATATATTTACTGAACCACGGGTATGTGACCCCCAGGCTAGTCAAATCTTTAGGCCACCACTTAAAGCTTCAGAGGGGTTTCATTGCAGGACTATTCCATTGGATTGTACACTGCTATAGTGCATGCCATGCTAGATGGAAAATAATACGTTTGTAGACAGTGGGACGGAACATAGGCTTCATATCAAAGAAAATGCACTGTAAGAGACAAAAGTAAGTGTGTGTTGCTGCTGCTCCCTGGTTGAACTACAGGCAGCTGTGGGAAATGTAAAAACATGGACACATGGAATACCAACTGAGCTACATAGGATCATAAAATAGATAACGCACTCACATATTGACTTATTCCAAATATAATGTGTGTAAACAATATATAATGTAGCACCTCTTTGAAAAACAACTGTTTGAGTGGTACTGAATAAAGTAAAGTACCTGATTCTCTCACCAATGGGACAGATACATAAATCAAAGTTACAGACTGATTAAATGCAAGAGGAACTACAATACCATCATGGCCACATTTGGAAAAAAGAACAGACAATCAGTGCGTAACGAAAAGCCACCAAATCAGGCAGGAACCACATAAAGAGGGGACATCTATATTAAGGCCGTCAGAGGCCATGGTTTCCCATTGCTATCATTCTTCCCAGTTCTCCCAGTAAGTTGTAATGACAAGGGCCTTATCCTCTTGTCCATGTCTGTTGTGGATAAGGAGGGATTACTGCTGTCAGAGCATGCCTCCCACAGACTGGTATGCCCACTGCTGCCACAAGCCTAATCTCCTACTGACCATATGTGTAATATTGAGTCACTGCAAGTGTGTGTATGTCAGTATATTTGTCCGTCTCTAGTATTTATCTATCCCCTGGAGAGAGTGTGTACTAACCCCTTATCAACAACGGTTGGAGTACAGTTAAGAGTACAATGGGGGAAATTAAGTCATGCAAGAGAGCATGTCATCAAAGACTGTCTTCTCTGCTCCACATGTGTCAGAGGACCGAGCATATGGAATGAATAGGATCAAACGTAACACTATAGCAATAAGTGCCGGCATCCTGAATGAAGGATACGGTCAAAAGGTTCAATTCTAGCCTGAAGGCAAGGGTGTCATATATGCCATGTGCAGACTACTACATGCACAGATTCTACGCACACACACACACTCCCATACACGCACATTCATCAATCACATTCCCATCCTTTCTCCATCAGTGTGCGAAAAAGAAAACACATTTGCTTGCCACAAATGTGAAAATGGGTTTCCTATCAGCTCAATGTCTTAAAAGAGCAGTTTGAAAAGACAAAAGGAAAAATCAGACGGAAAGCCTTAAAGAGAAATAGGGAGGGGGCGAGGAGAAGTGTGAAGGGTGTAATTTTGTCACGATAAATCTTTCCGCTCAAACATTCTGTAGGATCAACAGAGCGTGGTGAGTGTGTGGTGCTCGGGGTGTGCCGGGCAAAGGGAGCATTTTGTGTGTTTGTGTGAATGTTTGCCGACAGCTTTAAAGTTGTCTTGTTCATTGAGACGAAGGAGCCCTAAAAAGCCACGCCTGGGACAGACTTTTCACTAATCAACCTAACCACAAATGATAGCATATCAGCCCAGGGAACAAGACAAAGAGAGTGGGAAATGCTGATGAACAGACAAACACAAACAGGCTGAAGGCATGTGAAAGTGAAAAAAAGAGGAAAGAGATTACAACAAAGGGGGATTTGCTGACATGATCTCCCACTTCTCCTCAACAGTCTGAAAGTTTAAAATAGGGACATTTTCATCAATGTCTAAGAGAGGATGCATGGGCAGACAGAAGAGGGCCTGCTAAAAAGAAAAACAGCAGCTTCTGGTGCCAGACGAGGAGCCATAGGTGTGTTGTGCTTAACACCAGGGCAATGCAACATATTCTGTCGTACTCATTCAAGGAATATTTGGAATCTGCGGTAAGATATGTATGTTCGTTTATATGCCATCAGCAAGTAAAATATCTCACAGTGGGAGTGTGCATGTGTGTGTGTGCTCGCCCTTGGCAGCAAGTCAAAGCTGGGCAGGAACAAACCAGTGGTGTGGCTGTTATTACTGGGTCTACTGGGACACGGTGGCTGGGGAGAGCCGATTAGGCCGAGATTTATGCCCCTCAGCGTGTGTGTATGTGTGTACCATCACACATACCTTAGGCTCACAGTTAGTGCATGGAACCATCACACTACTTAAATTCTAACAGAACACTGCCACGTTGTGGACATTGCTAGAACTGTATAAACGTATAAAACAATCAAACTGAATTTAGATTCCACATTGTTCTAACAAATAATGGTGATTTTCACCAGTGTAATTATTTATCTCATAGTGAATATTCTGATATAGATGTGTGTCAGTAATTCTGTGTTGTGTCTGTGCAAGACAGTCTGATGTTGGAGGAGGAACAGAGCAGGAAACACAAGTGAGAAAGCACTACTACACACATTATCCTCTGACAACACAAATCAACAGGTAAAGTATGGATGGAGTGAGCTATCCCTACAAACTGCATACAATAAACACATATCTGCAGACCGTTGGTTAAAGTAACTGGACATCTGGCCATGGTGGTAAAACTGAAAGAGAAAAGGGGAAAACCCTTGCTCAATTCTCTGTTTTGCATTATACAAATATAGGGCCACACCATTGTTCACCCTTCTCCTACCCACATTGTCCTTACATAAAAATGTACTAACACAAAATGAAGGTGATCATTTCTCATCAATTCCAAGAATACCAAGAAAGCCACTGTGTCAACCCTTAGCTACGTTTGAAGAATAAATAAAAGCAGAGGTGAACTGAAAATGAAGGCATTTATTATACCAGCTCAAGCTAAACAACTTATCATTTAAAGGAGAGTAATGGGCGCGGTAATGAAAGGCAGTTTGGCTGGTTTCCTTTGGACCTAATCAAAAGAGCTAAGAGCAGTGCCCCCTAATAGAGGCAATAGCTGCGCTAACATCCCCGGCTTGACTTCACAAACCATGGCAAGTGCAAGTGTTAAATTATGTTTATGTGCCAGAGTCGTACTCTGACACATAAACAAACACAAGAGGCCTTCACAAGATGTACGCAGATTCTTACAGTTGAGTGAGTGCACATATCCTCTTATTAATCTGTATTCAGTCCAAACATTAACACTGACATTCCACACCAACCACAAACCTATCAAACTGTCAGACAATGTGATGAATTCCTCACCACAATGTTGATAAACTACATTTTGAAAACCCCCAGATTTGAGGGTTTTCAGACAGAATTGTTGAATGTTTACACTGTAAGTGCGTGACAACCCAATGTTTATTATCAGCTTAGTTACCAGGAACTACCTTGATGTATCATGTATTTGTTGCTCATGAAAAAAACGTTTATTAGATTATTTTGAGAGTAGCCTGGTAGAACTAACATTTAACATGCCACTTATATGTAATAGACCATGCAAAGTGTTGTTTGCAATGTTAACACTGTTATGTTAACTCTTCATTTGATAGTAAATTAACAAAATCAAAATAAAAACTACAAGTAGCATTTCAAAGAGTCTAGTAGTATCTACAAATCAGTTTGTTTCACTCCGAACCAGCCTTTTACTACTTCATAATAAGTTCAACACACACACACACACACACACACACACACACACACACACACACACACACACACTCATAGAGTCAATCACCCCATCTTAACCTCAGAGTAGAGGAGGCCAGAAGGCGACGAGGGAAAAAAACGAAAGAACAACAATCACCTCTCTTTTCAATCAGGGCGGTCGTAGTGTTTTTGCTCATTAATCATACATTAATATTCAGACAAACATAGCATGTTTTTCTACCTTAGAAAAACACTCCTTTCTCCCACCTCTCCCCCTCACCTCTCAGACCCACTCACCCCCTCCTCCTCCATCGCACCCACAGTGTGTTAAGCTGTCAAGCAGTTAAAAATAGCACAGCACACAGAGTGTGTGTGAACAGGTACTCACCTCTTACACACACAGCATGGTAAGGTCCTTTACGCACGGACACACTCAATCACACAAGTACACACATGCAAACCGGTGGTTGCATTAGCATAGTCTGAAACACCCACGCTGCCCTCTGACAAAATCATCACACTGACCCAACACCCAACACCCGGCACGGTGGATATCCCATCAGCCACCTGCAGCACGGGGAGGGAGTGTCCTCGCTAGAAACGATAAGCCGACAGGCCCCAGATGTGCACGCATGCTCACATAACATACACACACAAACACACAATCATTCTGACTGGGCTTGGCAGGCAAACAACATACACAGAAAAACAAGAACATCATGAAGCAAACAATAGCAGTCAGGCCCACACATACAACACACACACCCACAAACACACACACACACACACACTGAAAGAGGGGTAGAGAAATTAAAGGCTAAGAAGATTTAGGAGTTAAAAATAAACAAGGCAGTAGTGAGGAGCACAGAGCAGCCTACTGTGAGCCCTCCTGTCAAAGGATACAACACCTGTGCTACTCCACCGTCTGGGCTGTGGCTTTTACATTCTCTATCTAATCAAATCAAGTCTTTGAGGAAACAAGAACATTCAAATAATGCCTCACAGTGGCCTCAAAACAACCAGTCAAGTTGCGATTTACATCTATGTCTGTCCAAAATGTAATCACTTCAAAATGTAAAGACATTTATGTGAGTTGCTAAAAAAGCATTTCCAACGTTATTCAATCATTTATTAATTCCAATGTATGGCAAGCTTACAGCATAATAATAAATACCAAATGCTATGCACAATGCATAGACGAGTGGAAAATGAGCAACTGCCATATGAGCATGTGGAAGAACCCCACCCACCCACCCGCACACCCACACACACACACACACACACACACACACACACACACACACACACACACACACACACAAAAACAAACCCGAGTCAGATTGTAAAACTGCATGGCTGAACCCAGGCTTAGAGCTCTCTCTCGTATGTTAATCTGGCCGATTGATAAGACCTGCTGAGCTGCTTTCTGCTTCCCCTCTCTACATAATACAGACACTTTCACAGGTGCTCACACACAAACACATATTCATTCAAAATGCAATAATGTCATTTGCACAGCCAATTGCCAAAATTCATTAATCTCATTCATTAATCTCATCAACAGATAAGCAAATGTATAAACACATAAAACAAATAAGTCACATAAAAGTATATAATTTGATTATTAATAAAGTATATCACAAAATATGTTCATTAAAAATAAAATAGTATTTGAAATGTTTTAATGTTTAACCCTAACCTTAACCCTTAAACATGAGAAAAATGAAAGTCATTATAAACATTTCCACAACCATTCTGTCACAAGTCATAGCAATTGTTTTGGATTGTCAAAACAGATAACCCTGATTGTGTATTAGAAATGTGAAATATCTAAACACTTCCAATGATTTTGAAGTGAAGGGTTAATAACAAATGTTGATCAGCCCTACTGTTTAAAAACTGTAAAGGGCCAAAACCCTCCCCCCTGCAGCACTCATACATACCTCTCTCACATGCATGTTCTCCATCTGCGCCTCCGCCTCCTGTGCCGCCATGGTGATGATGCCTGTCCGCTGTCCCCGGACCCAGTGTCCCTGACCTTGACCCTGAAGCATCTCCAGCAGCTTCTGGATGCTCTCGTCCCGGGCACCCAGCGTCTGTTTCTGAGAATCGATTCTCATCTCCATCTCTTCCATGGTCTTTCTCAGCAGGAAAAGCTCCTTGGCCTGCCGCTCGTGCTCCGACTGCATCCCGAAGTAATTCTCGTCCGATGGATCCAGCGGAGGAGATGAGGAGGAGAGGCCGCCACACCCAGGCACCTGGCAGGGGCTACACGGCTGGAGTGAACTAGAGCAGGGCGCTGCCACCGGACCCTGGCTAGGAGTGTAGAAGGACTGGTTTGGGCTGATTCTTGGCCCGGGGCGGAGGGTGTTGGCAGGGCTGATTTTCTGCGCAGTGACCGCAGTGTTACAGCCAAAACCAGGGCTGTGAAGGATGACGTCAGCTTCCTGTTGCCTCGGATTGTAGGTGTTCGACGGGCTGACTCTCGGGCTGTTCCTCGGCGCAGGACTGTGCAGGTTGCTGGAACTTTGTCTGGGGCTGTGGCCGGGGCTGAGCCCGCCTCGGTGGTCCTGGTCTGTGTGTTCTCGATAAGAGCTAGAGTTCCCCTGCTGCCGCTGTTGCTGCAAGCGACTGTTCATCTCCCTGTGAGCCCTCAGCTCCTCCTGAAGCTCCTGGACCGTCAACGGAAGCTGCTACAAAGAAAGAGAAAGGTTAAGCGCCCATTCTTTCAAAAGTACATAAACATTCCAAATAAACAGGCACAAATTAAACGTTACTAAACACATGACATTCACACACAGATATATGGTGGGGTGCATAAAACAGACCTTGTTTCTTCGGATATCCCCAGGCTGCTACATTGAAATGAGACAAAAAACATGCAAATGTGTAAAGCCACAATATAATGCACAAAGCAAATACTATCTATCATACATTTTAACCTATAACTTGGATTACTTTGAGCTGTTAGTTACATGTTTGTGCCGCTAGGGGGCAACAATTCCCTTTAAACCATAGGGAGGAAAATGACTGAGCAAAAATGACTTTAGTTTGCAAGAGGTGAGGGGGAGAAGATAGGATTAGGATCATGGTGTCACTTTCGATAAAACATAAATGCCACCCAACAATATCTTATATAATCAATTGATAAATAAACTGACATATCAATAATTAATCAAGAATACAATTACAACATTTGCAAACCAGTGGGCAAACTGGTTATTTGGAATAATCAAGAGTTTGGTCATTAATAAACAATTGATCTTTGCCTTGAATTACTTTTTAGGGGTTGGGACACAATATGTGTGAGTTTGTAAAGATGGACTGAAGAGGTTTGGATGCAATAACTGATTGATTGAACGCAGCTGCGTGTCTTCTCACTGGCCATAAAAAGAGTGATCACCCCAATTCTGGCCTCATTGCACTGGCTTCCAATTCGGTTCCGAATTGATTTTAAACTCCTTTTATTTGTTTTCAAAGCCCTTAATGGGCTGGATACGGCTTATATAGTCGAACTCCTCCATCGCTACACCCCAGCCAGAGCTTTAAGGTCGGCTGACCAGCTGCTGCTGGTAGTGCCCAAGACCAGGCTCAAAACCTGAGGGCACGAGCCTTCGCAGCAGCTGGCCCCAGGCTCTGGAACACTCTGCCCCTCCATGTGATGTCGGCCCAGACCCTAGGAGTTTTTAAATTGACACTAAAGACTCACTTCTTCTCCCTGGCCTTCTAGTCAGAGCGGAGCACGACTCCTGACATTTCCCTGTGTTCGATTTTTATATTTGCTGTAGTTTATTGTCTTCTGTTTTGCTATCGCAGTAAAGTGTTTTTATTGCATGTACAGCACTTTGGCTCGACCAAAACTCGTTTTTAAAATGTGCTATATAAATAAAACTTGATTTGATTTGATTTGAAAATACGTTTATAAATTGAACAATGAACTATCTAAAGTAAACTAAGTGACACAAAAGGGCCCTGATAGTGTGTTGCTGGGGATAATACAGTTAACTCAACATTCCCACTTTAGCTGCATTTTTCAGTGCAAAATGTTACAACATAAAATATTCCTATTTACATCCACAGCTCACAGCTTTACTGACTGGTAAATGGAAATTCATCATGTGCTTGAAACCATGTACACAGGGTATTATTCATAGTAGACTGAAAAGGTTAAGAAAAGGCTGTAAGGGAGAAACCAAAGGAAAGAGAAACACACAGTATCTTATTCTCAAAATAGTATGGTAAAGATTCATTTATGCAAACTTTCAACTGAATTTAAATTACTAATCTGTACGGTGAGTAGATATAATAAATGTTATCTTCAAATATTCATTCTCCTCTTTCTTGAGTCCAGAAGGTGTGGAACGCCAAGGACGAAGTTGAGGTGATGGAGGCAGGCGAGGGTGAACATGGATAATCAATGCAACAAGCTAGCACTGAATATCAAGTCTCAGTGGGTGGAAGATCCTCCACACACACACACACACACACACACACACACACACACACACACACACACACACACACACACACACACACACACACACACACACACACACACACACACACACACACACACACACACACACACACACACACACACACACTCACAGCCAAAACAGTAGACACAAATACATATGTGCAAGTATATGCACAAGCATACACAGGCATGCTCAAAACCAATACACAAAACAAGCAGATGGTTAGGGGACATCTCTGGCCATGGCAGCTGAGCTGAGATGAAAGGTGACATTCCTTATGCTAATTATAAAGTTCTCTTGTCAGACAGAACTTTTCCCAGAGTGTCTCCAAGGGCAACACACAGGGAAGAAGGAGAAGAGAAAAAGAAAGACATGGGGGATAAGGGTGGTAAGGGATATGTTAAATACATCATATTGTTAGAATAACATTATCTGTATGATGTTTTTGAGACAGTGAGTAATAGTATGTGTTATAATGATTATTGTTAATTTTCTATAAAAAGCACTAGCTTTCAGCAAACTGACTTACTTGGCAACAGCAACAAAACAGCTTGATGACAACTGATATTCGACACATTATGTACAAATCCCATATTCTATTGACATGTATACAGACTATTTGCACTACTTTTTATTATTTGTGTATTTCATTATATATGTTGCATTGTTGGAGGAGCTCAGGTCAGAATAATTTCATTGCCATTTCTACACTGTAGCTTTGTGCATATGACAATAAAACCTTTGAATCTTGAATTTTGAATCATGGCCAGGTGAATTTCACTTTGATTTTAGTATGACTTTAATTAATCCTGTTATACAAGGTAGATAGACAGATGGTCTGAAATATTGTGCTGTTAATTCGTAAAGGGTTTTTACGACAGTTAAGATGCATAAACTACTACAGGCTTTATTTGGACAGGAACACATTTAATAACTTGTGAATTGTTTCTATCACTTATTGTTTATGGGATTTGTCTAATGGGGACTTTTCCTGTTACTCAATATTGTTAAATGGCGTATATGATGCCAGCTTTGGTCCCATGAACACATTAACTAATGTTGCCCCATTGTAGAATATAACACTCTCTACCCCTATGCTGTTATTCTCTTAAGTTTACATAAGGGTTACGTGAATATAACGAAGATGAACGAAGACAAAGTTGAAGGTAAACCAAAATTCAAAAGAAGCGAGTGTGGGAGAGACCAATGAGCCAACACTTGAGAAAAGTAATACACTTGTTGAATGGGTCTGTCGCCTGAAGTAGACAAACACATCCATCTATCACTGACAAGGCCAAAAGCCTGCAGAGATGGGTAACAGCGACTATACTGATCCATTTAAAGGCCTCTGACATGAGAAGCTCAACATATATAATATCTTTATACCGTTCTGAAGTTTGTGGGTGGTAAAAGTGGTGTTGTGTGTGTTTTTTTGTGTACCTGAATGTCAGTTTATTTGGCTGTGCATATAACTGCCTATTAAAGGAAGGAACAACAAGTAGTAATTGCAGATCATCATGAAATGTAAGCATACATTTCTGCTTGTTAAGGAAGCATTTTGAGAAACATGTATCAGCTGCAACTCTATGGAGCTAGCTACACAGCAATGTCTACATTCCTGAAGTAACAAAGTTTTCTGCATTGATTTTAAACTTTTTTTATGTTAAGTAAAAGTGTATGCGTGTGTGGTTGGGTGTGTCAGCGTCCTCACACTGTATGACAATGTGAGAAGAAGAAGCTATTAATATATATGCAGAGATGGCTCCTTGGTTACGAGAGGGAGGAGTCAGGTGGAAAAGTACAGATTAGATGAAAGTGTGTGCATGCTTATGAGAGAGGGATGGAATAGGATTCAACAGAAACTACACAGGTTGCTGATTGCAAAAGAGGATCAAATGTATCCACCTCTGTAAAGTATCTTTGAGCACCTGACAAAGCACTTGATAAATAACATTTATTATTATTATTAGTATTTATTATTATTATTATTATTATTATTATCTAGTCTCTCAGAAGTAGCACCTTCCCACCAGTAAGTGACATATTATATTAAGTGAAGAACCAGAAGAAAGACGGGCTATGAAGAAGGAATGGATCTACAGTAGCTATGCAGGCAGACAGACGGATGGATAATGCCTCAGACTGAGTGGGAAGGACTCGGGGGAGAGGTGGCACAAGACAGACTGGTCACTATCCCTTGGAGTAGCTGTGAGATTTTTGTAGGATCTGACTAACTCTGCTGAATGGCTGTCACTAGGGCACGTTCCCATGGAAACACAGAGAGCACTGAGCCTGGCAAACATCTTTACAAATGAAGTGCAAATAATCCTTTCTACGCAACCTTGAAGATTCAAACAAAAGTTATGATGCTCAAGGTGCAATGTGCAGAAGAGGTGTCAACACACAACGTCTGACTGTGATGAGTTGCAGACCAAGCAAACAAGACTTTTGTTTCAAATGCACTCTTTGAAAATGATGGCCTTCTGTAAATAAGGACTTGATGACGTCAAAGTAACTTACGGCCCGTCCACACAGCGGCGTGCGTTGAAGCTTGCCGGCGGGCGTGTCTGAAACTCGACCAACAACCAATCACATGAATCTCCCGCCCCTGACACACAAGCAGCGGTTTGATTGGCTAAAGCTTGTACTGGCATATGATTAGATTGGCTGACGCTTCTGCCGAGGCGTCAAAAGTTGAACATTGCTCAACTTTTGCCTCGAGCCACGCCAGCAAAGCTCCGCGTCGCCCCATTCAAAGTGAATGGTGAAGCTTTCAACGCACGCCGCTGTGTGGACGGGCCGTTACTGATGAATATGGGAGTTGTTGAGCATTTGAAGCAGTAGGACGACATAAAGATGAAATTGCTAACGTTTTGTTCAAAATCTATTTAACTCAAAGTGGAAATTATATATTTTTTAAAACAAACTTCCATTTTCTCACCTGTAAATCCTCTTGGTTAGTCCTGTAGTGGTCCTTCAGAACCGAGCCCCTCATTCCTTCCTCCCGCCTTACCCCCTTGTCTCTCTTCACATCTGGGCTCCAGAAGTTGACATTGTTCATGCTTGGACCCGTCCCACCATCCCTCCCAACATCCAGCTCTCTCCTCAGGTTGTCATTCTCGCTCTGCAGCTCCCTCAGCTGAGACTGGAAATCAATCAAAGGAACCTCTCCCCGTCCCGTGGGTTCCGATGCCTGCGGATGTCTTCCAGACTGGCGCCGCAGACTGGAAGTCCTCGCAGGATGCAAGCTTTGCTCTCCGTAGGGGTCTGACGGGTGATGGATCCCAGAGGAGGTGATGTTGGGGGTGCTGCCCATGGCTGTTGTTCGGTTAGTGTAGGAGGAGCGGCTGGTGCTCCTGCCCAGCGTCATGGTGCCTTTGGGGTACCCAACGGAGGGTTCCAACGAATCTCTCTCATAGGGGTAAATGGTGCCTGAAGTGGCATAGGCAGCACTCAAAGACTGGATGTTCTCCATAGACAGGGTTTTACCGCCTGGAGCTGTCGCTGAACCACGAGTTGTTCCTTTGTCTGTTGCTGTGCCAGGTTTGATCTTCGGACCTGGCTTCGTCAAGCTTCCTTGACCTGCAGGTAATTTAGACGCTGGTGCAGGCCCACCCCCTGACACCGAGCCTGGTTCTAGCCCAGATCGCGAGCCTGTTGCTGAGATGGCAGCCTGTTTGCCTTTCCCCTGTTTGTTGGATCTTGAAAAGCGTGAATGTGATGTGCCGCCATCAGTTTGCGCGCTGCTCTTTGGGGCAGCCAACAGTTTGCTCTGCGCGGGCCTGGCTCTAATGTTTATAGGCATTTTTTATATGGCAAAAGTGGACTTCTAAAAAGAAACTGCTATGGTTGAGAATAATTGCATGTCCCTCTATGGAACCAGCTGGATTAACAAGGTTTAAAATAAAGGCCCCCCCCTCGGCCTCTCAGTTTTCACCTGTCCATCCCTGATTGTTTAGGGCTTGAGGCTGAGTCTTATTTAGTCCTATTAGACGGAAATGGCAGTGATTGTTGGTTAAAGGGCTCCCAGACACACAGGTCAGAGGTCTCGTGGTTTCAGCTACAGTGCAGAACATCATGGATTCTAGATAGAATGAGAGGGACACAATCATAAAACATCACAAGTAGTATCACCAAATGATTCTCAAGGCAGGTTATTGTTTTTTATATATTGCCAACATAAGACGACATTTCCTACTGATTCAAAAAGAAAATGTCACTTAAGCAATATAAACATGTTTTACTTAAACCTTCTGAACACCCACACAGCTGTTTTTAGTTAATCTTAGACTTCTACTCAGGACTGTGTTGGTATATAGACTGTAATGGGTTAACATATATGTCAAATACAGTCCAAAATGTATAATTTTCATTGGTAGATGGTAATATTTCGACCTAATACATTCTAATCAAATCTCTTTCCCACCTTCAACCACATTAACTTAAAAAACACCTACGCGAGTGGTCAGAGTCCTAAACAAGTATTTTAAGCTGTTGCAAATGTGGTACAAACACTAACACTTAAACAAAAACGTTGTTAAAATAAAAAAAGAACACAAAATGAGTCCTATTTAAATAATTTGAACAATAATAAGATTAAGCAAACAAGCCTACAAATATGACGAACAATGCCCATGACTCGTGGTTGAACAAAAAAATACTTTAAATAAAGAGTACCAAGTATTACAAAGTACCAACTACCAAGTATTACAATTACATTCTTGATCTAGTGCCATGTTTTCCATCCCTCTGGGAACCCACAGTCCTACTTTTTCCATCTCTCCCTGCTCATGTGAGGACAATCAATGAAATTGACTACAAATCGCTGCCAACGCTAATCAAATATTCAAAAGATGGGCAAAATGCTGGGCTAAGCTATACATTCAAGACCATGAGTCCAGGAGCAGGGTAACATGTATTTTAGTCTTACTATGCACCCTGTAATCCTCTCTGATGGGAGTGATTCTGAGGACAGGAACACAATGTCTGTTTAATCACCAGGCTATAGATTAATGTAAAGGACACCTTGCACAGCCACATTCCCACAGTAGATGGTGAAAGAAAAAATAAGGGTGAGGGACCAGCTTGACCATTTCAGCACCACGGACAGCACTCAACCCATCTTCATTCTGCCTGCACAGATCTCAAGGAAACAGGGACACAATAGTATCATTGGCAATGGGCAGTGCAGGCTGCCATCCCTTTCGTCAATTTGCAAAACTCATTGACAGACTGGGCCCTGAAGACATACCGGTTCTTTTGAGATGCGATTACAACGACAAAGGGAGGAGCATTAAAATCAGGTTAAATTAAAGTAGCCTATAGGACTATGGCCATTTTAGAATACAATCAGGCTACAGATTATTATACTATGTGTTGGAATCATACACAATGTTGGATTATTTGAGGCAAAAAAACATGAAATAAAACAAATGTGTAAAAAATATCCCCAGGAAATCAATGTAAACACAACGCAGACCATGATACACCAGATATTGGGGACTGTCTGCAAAAACAGAGGCAAATCCAAATCATAATCCCTCCTCTAATCCAAGAGGATTGGGTGCTTTGAGTCTCTGCACAGGATGCAAATGAGAGATTGGTTAAATCTGCTTGTCAATCATAACATAGCTGTCAATCCGTTATCCATCATTGTTTGAGACAATGAATGTAGTCCTTTTATGATTTTTTGTGTACAATAATTGTGACTAAACATAACAAAATAACAATGATCACGATTATTAAATCATATAAAATAAACGTTTAAACACGTATAAACAACCACACACGGTAACTTGTCACTATTGAAGCTTTGTCTACAGATATCATTTGCATTAAAATGGAGGTCAGCATAACTGGTCAGTTTCGAAGGGCACGCGGCAAGTTTAAGCAGCTGTGTCCAACGTTGTTTGACCACACTGAACTGACAAATACAAAAATGACTGATGAAAAAAAGTAGAAAACGTCTCACTTCGCCTCATGCCTCTGCACTTACTTGTGAGTTGGCAGCCAGCTGTTGCCGCGAAGAGAAAACTCGAGTCGGCACCCAAACTGCAAAAGCGTAACTCGGTAGTTTGCATTTGAACATGTGCCCCTCTCATACAACTCAACAAGCGCCAAACCGAAGATACAGTATGAAGTAGACTGCACTATCCTTCACGGGTGGCATGAGCGCGGTGCATGCAGTTGTGCACAGTCGCCCGAATAACTCCACGACCACGGCATGAAGGATTAGTTTCTTGCTCATATGCACACGGCTACATGACTTCGAGCTAGAACCTTACATAATAATTAATCTGTCACACACATTGAAGCACAGTTTCATTTGTGTAAATACTGTTGTCCCATGATGCCACTGAGTCCAAGTGTGCACGAAACGTGTTCTCGATCTTACCGGACAGGCACCTCTCCATCACCGTGAAGTCTTAACCGTATCCTGTCCGACCTCGGCACAGGCTCCATGATCTCATCGGCTCAGCTCCATCATGACCTGTCCTGCCATCGGGTCCGCGTGGGCGCGCTCTCCCAAGCTGGCGCGTGCGCGACCTACGCGGAGTAGTGGGGCCGTGAGCAGCAATAAAGGGAGGTTTTATTTTTTCATACACCTACACAAGCATCAGTTGGGCATTGAACAGCATTTGCAATGTCTAACATACACTCACCAAAAAATGGTTTACATTGAATTGCATTCCATTTTTTTCAAGGCAAGCAATTCCCTGTCAGCCATGAGCCATCAATAATTTGGCATAGCCGGGTGTTTGTTTATAAGAGAGACAACCAAACTATGTTTAAATTACACCACCTGATTAGAGAAAGCCACAAATAGTTTTGGATTAAATATGTTGACCTTTGGCAGGGCCTGTCATTACTATTCGAGGAGGTTACATGGGGCCTATCTGTTCAGTTCACTTTACATTTATTCAAGTATTTTTTGTTAGGTTTCTCTTTCAAAAAATAATATGCTACGTGTCTAATGGAATTCCCAGGCCACGAGGTTAAAAATGAAACTGGAATTCGAAAAAGAAATGTTAAATATGTGTACAATTCAACAAGTACAAACACAGTACTCCATGTTGCTGAATCGATTTGTTCCTTTAATATGTTGCTGGCACTTAACCCTTGTATGGTATTCGGGTCTGTGGGACCCGTTTTCATTATTTAGCTAAAGAAAAATGATATGATAAATTATTTTTTCAAACCCACACTCAATGGCCATTGGCTCATTTTCTGTGAAGAACATATTTTCAATGACTGCACCCTTCGCCAGTTTGGTTCCTTATCACAACTGATCAAGATGGCCAAAATATTCTCTGCTCAGAGGGCCTTGCAAATGATTCTGGAAGAGAGAGAACCATTTGATGATGATGTAGAGTAAGAGGAAGAGGTTTCAGAATGTGAGGATCTAATTTCTGAGAATTCTGAGTCTGACAGTGACTTTGAAGAGATTGAGCATCAGCTAGTTGCAAAAAAAAAGACGAGCCACAGGACCAGCGGTCAGCAGGCAAAAAAACGAGTAGCACTTGAATTCATGAATGTGATCAAACAAATGTAAAAGGGAAAATATTAACCATATATGCTGTTTATATTGCTTGTAATTGAGATTAAATAAACATCTGTTGAGTGTTTTAACATAAAATAGTTTGATTGTGCTTAATTCAAGCCCAAAAAGGCAGCGGGTCTACCAGACCCACGAACACTGGCTGAGTAACACAAATATCAACACCACACAAGGGTTGAGTGCAAAGGTTTTCCTCTTACATTTCTTGAATAATACCAGGTGCCATGTCTTACTTTAAATGGGTACAACAGATTCCGTTGTTAGTCATCTGTGAAATGTTAGATGTAATCCTTAGTTTCACTTCCTGCCAAAATCTAACCAAAGGGAAGAGAGATTTTGTAATATGGGGCTTGGGGCGTTTGTTATACACATACATTACATGACTCCTTTGTAATACTTGTGAAATCAAGCTACTAAAATTAAATCAGTTGAAGTTTATTTGCATGTTTATTTGCATGTCTAACTTGGCACCCACAATAGCAACATGTCCCTTCTTGGCCAAAGCATTCTAAAGACAAATAAAGAATCAATTAACAATTTTGTTAGATAAAACAACAAAACACAATTTTGAGAAGTAAAATATTTACACTGTAGAAGAGTGGTTATATATATGAATAGCAAGATTTAAAAAAAAAAATCAAGTATTGGGAAGATTATTGACAAAGAGCAGAGGACTTTTTCACTAAAGTGTCCTCTATCAGAATATAAAAGAAAGTCATATAAAACTTTCACTCATGTTGTTATCATAGAATTTGAGGTTATCTGATGACAGTGCCATTCTCATTCGGTTCCAGAAAAGTGGTTGGGCCCGTGGGTTCCTCGGCCATGACAACACAGAATCTTTGCACAACCGTTTTCTCAGCTGAAGGTACTTCAGTTTGGGAAACATCTCATCCAACAGGACCAGTATAGCTGCATCCACCTAAAAGAGGTAAAGTAAGACATCATTGAGTGTTGAGAAAACACGGCAACAGGTTAAACGGGATAAGATTCTCACCCACAAGATACATATACAAATAAAAGTTAAATATATTAACCTTCTCGTCCAGAAGCCGCTGCTGAACCATGAAGAAAGCCTGGCGAATCACACCGTTCACCGTTTCACCACCAGTGGCTCCACTAGATAGCACAAACACTGTCTTGACACTGCTGTTGACAGCATTATAAAGATTGTCAATACATGAAAGTCCAGGAATCCAGTCCCTCTCTTCCAAACAGAGACAAAAATTCCTGTGACCGGAGATCTCCAGATTGACGGTTAACTCATTGTAGACCCAATCGCTCACAGCCTTGTTCCTGGTGTCAAACACCACAAAAGCATCATACTGATAACGTGAATTACTTCCAGCAAGTTGGGAGTAGCCCTTATGTCCTGCCCAAAGTACTTGTAGGCAATACCACAGGTCCCAGCCATAGAGATGCTTCAGTAGGGGCAGAACAGTGAAGGTCACAGCCAAAAAGGAACAGACGAGGAAGGCTAAGCCACCGTATATGTCCTGGCAGGAACGTTGGTCAATGGACAGCACACTCGCGCCCTGTTGGGACTCTGGGTAACCACATTGTATATATGTGGTGAGATAAGGAATCTGTACCGCAGTAGTACGCAAGAAATCTGTAAACGAAGATGTATCACAGTCACATTTAAATGGGTTGGCATGCAGGGTGAGTATCTGACGGGCACTGACATTTTTAAAGGGGGGAGGGAGAAATTGATGGTTCAACGCTTTGATCTGATTGTGGCTGAGATACAGGTATTTCAGGGATTCCGCAACACTGAAGAAATCATCAGGAATAAAGTTTAGATAATTGTGACTGAGGTCCAAGAGGGTAAAATCTGCTCCGAAATCTATTACTTTATTAGGCAATAAAGTTATGAAGTTATGACTGAGGTTCAGGTGAGATAAATTGCTCAGCGCTGTGATGTTTTCCCATGGGAAATTGTTCAGCTTGTTTTTGCTGATGCTTAGTTCCTCTAAGCTTTGTGGGAGGTTGCAAAGCACTACTGCTGAAATTGACTTCAGCTCATTATTAGAGATGTCAAGGTAGGTGAGGTTTATCAGGTTGTGAAAGAAACTAGTGTACTTGTCGTTATCGTAATCCCACATAATGTCCAGGTGATTTCCATAAAAGTAGAGGTAGTTTAAAGAGCTGCTGTTCAGCCATGGATCTATACGCATCCCAATGCCATTGTTTGCCAGACTTAGAGCTTCCAACTTTGTCAGACTTTGAAGGAATCCAAAATGGTGGCCCATCCCCTTCATTTGGAAGTGAAATTCATTGTTACTAACGTCTAATACCTTTAGAGTGTTTTTAAGCTCACTGAACGTATCGTTGTAGTATAAGTCAAGTCTATTGAATGACAAATTAAGAAAAACTAATTTCTTCATGTTATCAAACAGACCGCCCTTCAATGCCTGGCTCATGTAATTGAAGGAAAGGTCCAAACAAACAGCATTTTCCATGCCTACAAATACTGTTTTGTAAATAGACAGAATGTTATTTTGAGACAGGTCAATCCATAATTTGCCGTGGCAGAGGGTATCTTTAAAGTCTGAGAGGAATTTAATTTGTCTCACATTGTGCTCCAACAATTCGCCACGGTTTGTCTGGCTCGATTCCCAGGTATTGCTTCCAGATGTGGATTTGTGATCTGATAGCATAAGGCCTTGGTCAGGAAAATTACGTGTGTACAAGTTCTGTGCCACAATTCTAGATGATGAACATGAGCAGCAAGGAAGAAAATTAATGAGGTTTTGGGAAAGGTCAATTTTGATGAGTGAGGGTAACTGTTTTAGAGAGGTAATGGGTAGGGAAGTATTGATGAAGTTCATTCTCATTTCTAGTACCTTTAGATTTTGAAGCTTGGACACAACACTAACGCTTTCATTGGAAAACGTATGGAAAAAGTTACCACTCAGAAGAATATATTGTAGAGCAGACATATTGCAAATATATGGGGAGAGGATCAATTCCGGAAATATCATCAGTGGTTCATAGTTATAGATAAGGCTGATCCAAGTGAGGCCCTTCAGCTCTTTAAAGAAGGTGCCATTACGTATAGCATATGCCAGGAGGTTGTCGGAGAGGTCCAACCTCTCCAATTTCTTCAAAGATTGGAAAAGCCCCACTGGAAAGGTTTTCAGTGAGTTTCCTCTCAAGCTTAGGAAGTTGATTGAGCTGTTCTCAGCATAGAGTGAGTTGTTATTTAGGAGTAGAGGGTTATTGTCTGGGCAGGGAAAGCAGGGCCTGGCTGCATGGTCACAACGCTGGCAATTCCACTCTAAAGTCAAACTCTTGAGGTTAGTCAGGTTTGCAAACGCTCCATCTAAGACCTCTGTAATTGCATTCTCTCTTAAATCCAGAAGCTCCAGTGAGGGTGGCAACTCTAAAGGGATAGCTGTAAAATTGTTATACCCCAAGGTTAGGTTTTTTAGCTCAGAGAGTTGTCTGAAAACACTCTTGCTGATGTAGTAGGGTTGGCCACAAGGATTTGCATAATAACAGTTCTTGCTGAGGTAGAGCACTTGCAGGTGTGGAGTGTGTAATGGCTCTGCAATGTTGAAGATGCAATTATTCTGTAGGTCAAGAACCATCAGGTTTTGGGGTAACTGGGGAATAGAGGTGAGGCTGTTTCCTGACAGATACAGATATTTAAGCTTCAATAGCTTCGTCAGGGCATCATTGTTGATCTCCATTTTGCACAATTGTTTCGGTCTCGGTTGATCTGGTCGACAATTCCCCATTATTTTCAAGGTGTCAAGGTTTGGGAGGTTTAAAAAATCATTTTGCCCCACTTTCCGTATCTTAGTTCGACTTAAATTGAGTGACACAACGTTGGGAGACTTAATAAAGTGGAAAGACTCGATTGTTCTGTCACAGCAGTCCACTGCGGTGCCATTAATATCAGAGTCACATGGTAAAAAGGTGGTATTTATGGTCCTCGCCAATGGAAGAAGTTGAAAAATGATGAAGATATTTTTCAACATAGCCTGTAAAAAGAATTAATGTTTTTACTCGTTTGTTTATGTGTTACAATAGTCTGGGCAATTCTCTTGTGCACAATATCAAGCATATTCACAACATTTCCATTGAGATCACCCTTACTCTGTACTAAAGCATACAATTGTTAAGATAATCCCTTTCGTTTAGTTAAGCCTGACCAATGAGCCATTTCTGTCCATTTAACGTAACAAAAGAGTAGCTATATCATCTTCTTAAAGTAGAATGTAGTGCAATTAGATAGCAGAATACAAATAGTTTTACTTACCATGACAGGTATAGCATGAAGCTTAGCATTCACATCGGCAGCCAGATGAAGCGATGTTTGGTGGAGAGAGAAGATAGAAAACGGATCCAAAAGCAGCTGCAGTGCTAGGAAACTGGATCCATGTATGCAGAAGTGAGAGCTTGTGGTCTTATACACACGACAATGGGAAACAAACCATGTGACCCAAGTCAAATTGATCGAGGACATCAGAAATCAATATCACCTCGTGTGATTTAACAAAAGTAAATGTCCTGATGACAACACCTTTAGAGTATTAGAAAAATCAAAAAGAAAGTTCAATGTTTTCCTTTTTTGACTGCAGAGAAAACCCCAAAAGGAATGAGAGAGCATTGGTAGATCAAGTTGGCTAACTTCCTAATTCACTGATTCTAAAGAAAACGTATAAGGAAGTAACCACAACATCATCACCTGCTCAGGGACAGTTTCATCCCACAGGCAATAAGACTCTTAAACACCTGAACTGTTGAAGCAACATCCTTAATATTCATCTGGCTGCTACTTAAACATTATTTATCTATTAACCTAATATATCATATTTCTTAACTTGCATATAGACTCTTATTGTACTATTTCACTTTTTTTAACAATTTTTCTTTTTATATTACTATGTACTTGCACTATATTTTTCTGTTATCTGTGTTTGTGTTGCACTGCTGGAGAAGCCTGTGACACAAGATTGCCATCGGCATAACTACACTGTAGCTATGTTCGCATGACTAAATAAAGAACCTTGAACTTTGCTTCAAAAATCCTTTTCAACCTGAAAAATGCTAATGTTTCAAAAGATTCATTCCACACTAGTAGCATTTTGACAATCACTTTATTAAATGTACCGCATCATAAAACCTATAAGTATAGCAGAGAAAATGAATGTTCATTTGATAATAAAACCTACAAGCAACACACTGAAAATATCTTATGTTCTCAGTGTGTTTAAAGATTGCAAAGGCAAAACTGTATGAAAAAAAACGACTTCTATTCAAGTAGTATGTTAAAATATTATTTTTTACAAACATTGGAAGAAGCAGTGGCAGTTACCATAGCCACAGATACAGTAGATTAGATAGAAGTAAAGGACAGTTATACAAACTGTGTTCAGGTTGGATAGGACATTCAATGCTTTGGCTTTGGCTTGGACCTCACATGGTCCCGGAAGAGTGAGCAGAACTTTGCACACCATAGTCTCCTGCTCTCTTTTCCTGGTAGCAAGATCCTTGGCACACCACCATGCATACATCTACAGTAGTGTGTAACATCACTTCCACAAGTGTTGAATTATCCACAAGGCGATGTTCATAAAGCCATCGGACTCGGCATCAACCTTGGAGAGAGAGTGATTGTTTCCTGGGTACCACAGTAACCTAAACAACACACATTGGAGCATTAGTGAATGAACAATAAAAGCCATGTTGTGCAGTGCATAGCTGACATAACTGATAAAACACGTCACTCAGACAAGAAGCTCACCGGACTGGGACTTTCTTTGCTTGCAGAGCTCTGTAATATTCAATTCCTTGCTTGCTGGGTACACGCTTGTCATCTTCCCCTAAGGTAAGCAATACTGGTGTTTGCACCTAGATAAAAAAAACATCTGAGGTTACTTTATTGTGGAACAAGACTAATGATCGCAGTCAAGTGCAAACACAGAAATACTCATACCTGTGTGACGTATCTAATGGGGGATTTGTTCAGCATTTGTTCCCACACAGCAGGGTCAGGTAGACAGTCTGTAGTGTAGTCAAAGCCAGCCTCAACCATGCACCTGCAAAAACAAGCAATCTCACATAAACACGAAGGAAAAGCTTTGAGGTTTCGTGTTCCTGCAGTGTCTTTGTGTATTAGGGGACACTTCCTTTTCTGACAGTGAGGCAGAAACATCCCCTGCATCCCACTCACAGCTGTCAGAGGGGAATGTCAGCGGTACAAATGATACAAAACAACTAAGGTGAGACGTTGTGCTCAACAAATACAAAAGTGTACGTATATGTGGGAATGTGCATGCCAAGATGTACCAGTCTGGGATGTCTGTGCTGCCGATCATAGAGGCCAGATTGGTGACAGGGTTGCGAGACACACATGCCTTGTAGAACCCTGGGTACTGGCCAATCAGATGACAGGCCAGGAAACCCCCATGGGAGCCCCCAGAAACTGCCACCTTCTGCATGTCGAATTCATCGCCTTTCAGGACACTTTCCACAGCAAACTGGTAGAAAGAAAACATTGAAAAGACGGGTGAGCAAAAAAATATAAAAAGTATATATATATATATATATTTTATTGTACTATTGCTGTTGAGATCCATGACTCAAACAGAAACTTTAAACTAAATATAGAAACAAATGAATAGCATAAACTTGTAAATCATCGTTTGGACCAGCCTTTGTTGCTCTCGTCTCATTCTTACTTGAACATCCTTGACGTCCTGGGTGCCAACGTTGCCAGGTAATGAGAGGATATTGTCCTGGCCGTACCCAGTGGAGCCTCGATAGTTGACTAAGAAAGAACAAATACAAAACTTGCATTACGGTCTGATTATCATTGCTAGATATTATGATTTATTCTGACACAGAATTAACACAAAAGTGAACCAGTCAAGATGTTTGTCGCCTCAGAGATACTACCCCCCTGAGCATGGTTTAAAACATGTTTGATAAACTGAGCAGCTGCAACTTTCCGAAATTAGCAAAAGTAAATAACCTATGAAAAGTGAAAAATAACGGTTGGTAATTCAAAACTTGTAATTTCTTTTGACTGTTTTCTGCTCCACAGTTGAACAGCATAGATGGAATTGAGGATATCTATAGAGTGTGCCATATGTAGGAGCCATGAAATGTAGATAGTAATGCATTTTGAATAAACACATTTGTTTTGTACTAGTTTTATATTTGGGTAATGGTTTGTATTTGTATAAGATATTTGTTTGATCGCATTGGGTTGGTTGCTTTGTGTCACATGGTTATGGGCGGCACTCAGGGGAATTATAATCCTGTTCACCTGCGTGAGGTGTGTGTGGAAGAGAGGGGGACACAGGGTCGTTCTTTTTGTTGACCGCAAGTTTAAGGATTGCTTTGATTATTATAACAATGTCTTTGTCTACGGAAAATAAGTTGATCATCTCGTTTTTTCATTAAAACTACATTATTATTCACTTCATTTTTTGATCTCAGCAAGTGCTTTTTTGAGCGTCATACAATAGCTAACAGGCCCGGCCTCAGCCTCTCAGCGACTTTGTTTGTTTCCTGCTGTTGCTATATTTGTCAACAAAAAACAACGAGTACACAGGGCGTAAGAAGATGTTAAGGCTCTGCAAGACTACAGTTTCTTCCTTAGAGCATGTGCAAACTCAATGGAAGAGGTGCAGTATTTGCATGAGCTTGACATGGCTGCGAATATGGTGATCATAATAAGAAAGTTTAGCCTGTGAGCTGCAGGAGAGGAAAAGCCACAGAGCTACATTCTTTCACACATTTCATTGAGAGACAAGTTCAAATCTTAACCAACCCAGTATTTGGAAACATACAAGATTCTCCCTCCATAACAATAAATACTGGTTTAAACAGATCACAGCCTCGCTCAAGTTTAAGAGGAACTAGCTTTTCCACCACTTTAACCCCTGTAGAAAATGAAACCCAGACAGATACTGAATGGAAGGCAACCATGTCTGTGCGGAGGAGGAGGAGGTCACACCTTAGACTCGTGCCATCAGCTTGAAAAAGGAACAAGATAGGCTTCTTGATGGAAAAAGGTGTCTGTTTGGGCTGTTTGTGCGTGGGGCACATTAGCAAACATTTCAATAAACACATTTCCTGTTCAAAATGTGGGTTCAAACATCCAACCATACTTCACATTCCTTCAAATGAAACAAGACACAATTGCTATCAGTGGACAGCACACTGGTGTCAAGTGGCCTTACCGGGGCTGGTGATGACAATTGTAAACTTCCCATAGTTCCAGTGCAAGTCAAGTCAAAGAAAGGCAGCAAGATGGTCACAACCTATGCTTTCTTGGACCCTGGAAGTACAGCAGTGTTTTGTACAGAGGATTTGATGCACGAGCTCAGCCTAACTGGAAAGAAGGAACAGATTATTTTACAAACTATGGGCCAAGAGAGGGTCGTAAATAGCCATATTGTGTTTGGACTAGAAGTGGCTGGCTTAAGAAAATGACAATTTCTGTCAACTGCCACAAACCTACACCCAAGAGTGCATGCCTTCCCACAGTGGGAACATTCCTAGACAAGCGGACCTACAGAGATGGCCTCATCTAAAAAACGTTAATTTGCCTGAAATAAATGCAGGGATTGGACTGTTGATAGGAACCAATGTTCCTAATAGTCTAGCAGGAAGGGCCCTCAGATTTGGAGATACCCCTACCGGAGGTAGAACAAATGACAACAATGATTTTTCTTATCTTTAGGGTCTCCCATTTAAGAAATTGATTGTTGTCAAATTTTATTTTGGGGGAAAAATGTTTTTTTGGTTGTTCTTTAGAACTACCCCAATCCCTGAAAAAGAGCCAAATTAGACCAGGCCGAATGTGGGAAAGGTGACAAAAAAGCCCATAACTTGAGAATGACCACTCTTTTCCTCTTTAGATTTGCTGAGGTATGAACCAGGCGGCTGTCCTACATCACCAAATAGTCAGACAATTATTTAACTAAAAAAATACTGAATTATAGTCCTGTAAACTTAGCTTTAGTTTAGACGGAAATTGTACTTTTGGTGATAGGAACATAGGATTTAATCACTTTTCTCTCATTTATCAGAAAAACAGTAATCCCTAAAAAATATACCATTACTGAATTGTCTATGGTGCTATTGAACACTAACCAGTAGTTGTATGGAAATATCTGGTACAGTTCTATTGCAAATTAGATTTCTTATCACCAAATAGTCAGAATAAGAGTAACCCAATACAATAAAGTGTATCAGTTCTAAATTGCAAGCCTCTAAGTCTAAAACATAGGTGAGTAAATAGTACAGGTTTTATTGAAACTGGAAACCTAATTCAAAGTAAAGTATACAAATCATCAAATAATTCTGAGAGAGGTC